AAAAATACATCCTGCATATCAGATATTTAGATTACCATTCATAACAGCAGCAAAATTACAGTTGTGAAGTAGCAACGAAAATAATATTATGGTTGGGGGTCAACACAACATGAGGCCCTGTACGAAGGGGTCGCGGCATTAGGAAGGTTGAGAACCACCGGGATAAAGGATGCTCAATCTCTTTTGTTTTCCACCCAAAGCTCATGAAACGGACGTGGATAGTCCACCAAAGCTTTTGCAATAACAAATGTTCTAATTCAACACCTGGAAAAGAATTTCTTGTCAAAATGACTAATTTTTTTTGCACCTTTGCCTCAAAGTGCATTTTGTGCAAACAAAAACCTCTTAGAGACTGTGTTAAAAACGCATCTTGTTGGAAAATACACAAGTCAATGGGCAAAACATATACAAAAATCCATCGCATGTGGGAAGCGCATACAGAAAAAGTCAACGAAATATCAAAGAAGTAACAGAACGAGAACTGGCTCGATTTGGCATCCAAAACAATTTGTTATTTGGGTTGTTGTAGGTTTTTTCGGGCTGTATGGCCATGGTCCAGAGGCATTCTCTCCTGACGTTTCACCTGCATCTATGGCAAGCATCCTCAGAGGTTGTGAGGTCTGTTGGAAGTAGGGAAAAGGGTTTATATATCTGTGGAATGACCAGGGTGGGACAAAGGACTCTTGTCTGCTGGAGCTAGGTGTGAATGTTTCAACTGACCACCTCCAGCAGACAAGAGTCCTTTGCCCACCCTGGTCATTCCACAGATATATAAACCCATTTTTCTAATTCCAGCAGACCTCACTACCTCTGAGGATGCTTGCCATAGATGCAGGCGAAACGTCAGGAGAGAATGCCTCTAGATCATGGCCATATAGCCCCAAAAAAACTACAACAACCCAGTGATCCCGGCCATGAAAGCCTTCGACAACTTTGTTATTTGTTCTGCAGCAAATGCATTGGTCATTTTGACTTAGTTTTATGGACATTTATGGAGATGAATGGCTCTGAGAGCATTTCGGGCTGGATCTACACTGCCACGTTGCAGTTTTGAACTGGATTGGGTTGGGCGTAGCACAGCGGGTTAAACCGCTAAGGTAAAGGTAAAGGTTTCCCCTGACATGAAGTCTAGCCGTGCCCGACTGGTGCTTATCTCCATTTCTAAGCCGAAGAGCCGGCGTTGTCCATAGACACCTCTAAGGTCATGTGGCCGGCATGACTGCATGGAGCGCCGCCGCCTTCCCACCAAGGCATTACCTATTGATCTACTCACATTTGCATGTTTTCAAACTGCTAGGTTGGCAGAAGCTGGGGCTAACAGCAGGAGTTCACCCCGCTCCCCGGCACGACTACATACCCAACAGAGCGGTACCTCATGTCAGCCACCCTGAATCCCCTTTGGGGAGATGGTGGTGGGTTATAAATAAAGTTTATTATTATCATTATCATTATTATACTCATATTTGCATGTTTTTGAACTGCTAGATTGGCAGAAGCTGGGGCTAACAGTGAGAGCTCACCTCGCTCCCTGGATTCAAACTGACGATCTTTCGGTCAGCAACTTCAGCAGTGCAGGGGAGATGGTGGCAGGTTATAAATAAAGTTTATTATTATCATTATTATTATAATTATCCTCATATTTGTATGTTTTTGAACTGCTAGATTGGCAGAAGCTGGGGTTAACAGTGGGAGCTCACCTCACTCCCTGGATTCAAACTGATGATCTTGCGGTCTGCAACTTCAGCAGTTTAACCCGCTGCAACACCAGTTAAACCGATATGCTACAGAAACTCTTGCCGATTGGAATTTTGGCAATTCAAACCCAGATCGGTGCGAGCTCCCGCTGTCAGCCCCAGCTCCTGCTCACCTAGCAGATCGAAGACAGCAATGTGAGTAGATAAATAGATACCACTTTAAGCGGGAAGGTAATAAAAGGTGCCCATAAAGACATGCCGGTGACTCGATCAGGAGCATCTACACGTAGTCGGAGTCGAGTACAGCTGAAGGCGAAGAGCTGGCGTTGTCCATAGACACCTCCAAGGTCATGTGGCCAGCATGACCGCATGGAGCGCCATTACCGTCCTGCCAAGTTACCTATTGATCTACTCACATTTGCATGTTTTCGAACTGCTAGGTTGGCAGAAGCTGGAGCTAACAGCAGGAGCTCACCCCGCTCCTCGGATTCAAACAGTCAACCTTTCAGTCAGCAGCTCAGCGGTTTAACTCACTGTGCCACTGGGGGCTCATAAATAAAATATATTAATATAAATGCATTATATAGTCAGTGTGCATCCATATAATGCAGTTTAGCACATACAAACCACATTATATGTGTCTTCACACTGAGCACACAATTTCCAACTGCATTATATGGTCAGTGTAGAGTTATATAATGCAGCTCAGTGCCTTCAAGTTGCATTGTATGAGTCTATACTGATCATATAATGCAGATTTGAACCACATTATATGGCAGTGTAGATCCAGCCTCAGTTTCCCCAATCTCTATGCTTCCATATTCATTTGGGGATGAAGAAGTCTTCATACCACGTTTTCCTTGGGTAGCCGCTAATCTGATTGCTTTTAATCCATCTGTATCAACAGTGACTGTAAATCAATGCATGGTTTAATGAAAATGTCTGCAAAACATTTCGGGGTGGGAAAAAAAATACCGAAAGGAATGCTAATACTGCCATTTTGTAGCTCTCTTCAATAAGGAAATATAATAAAGATGCCCCGGGGACGATGAAAATGGCATGTATTGGCCTTTTGTTTATCGTTGGCAATTGCATAGCCGCCCAGAAGTTGTTAGATTTGCAACTCCAAGCATCCTCTTAGCGGCACAGCCAATGGTGGAGAGTAATGGGAGCTGCAATGCAACACCAATTGGAGGAAAAATATGATTGCTACCATTGGGTTAGTACATTTTGTGAACAGAACCCTTCAGAGGGCATTGTTTTGCGCTCAAAATACAATGAAAGGGGTTGCACAATGGGCACGATACACGTCTCCCCACGATTTTTGCAAACGCGGGTTCTCCCGAACGACGGAAGAACCACACAGCCAATGGAGAAGAGTGATGGGAGCTGCAATGCAACACCAATTGCAGGAAATGTATGATTGTGACCATTGAATTATTACATTTTGTGAACATAACCCTTCAGGGGGCATTGTTATGCTCACAAAATACAATGAAAGAGGTTGCACACTTGGCAGAATACATGTCTCCCTGCAATTTTTGCAAACGGATGCATTGCATGATCCGAGTTTGATGTCTCTGCAGTTGCAAGGCCCAGTATTATTTCTCCCGAACTATGGGAGAACCACACAGCCAATGGCAAAGAGTGATGGGAGTTGCAATGCAACACCAATTTTACCGTTGGATTATTATATTTTGTGAACAGAACCTTTCAGAGAGCATCGTTTTGCTCACAAAATAGAATGGAAGAGGTTGCACAATGGGCACAATACACATCTCCCCAATACACATCTCCCCATGATTTTTGCAAATGGATGCATTGCACGGTTCGAGTTTGATGTCTCTGCAGTTGCAAGGCCCAGTGTTATTTCTCCCGAACGATGGGAGAACCACACAGCCAATGGCAAAGAGTTATGGGAGTTGCAATGCAACACCAATTGGAGGAAATATATGGTTGTTACCCCTGGATCATTACATTTTGTGAAGAGAACACTTCAGAGGGCATCGTTTTGCTCACAAAATACAATTAAAGAGGTTGCACAATGGGCAGAAAACATGTCTCCGCGCGATTTTTGCAAACGGATGCATTGCACGATCCGAGTTTGATGTCTCTGCAGTTGCAAGGCCCAGTGTTATTTCTCCCGAACGACGGGAGAACCACACAGCCAATGGCAAAGAGTTATGGGAGTTGCAATGCAACACCAACTGGAAGAAATATATGATTGTTACTCCTGGATTATTATATTTTGTGAACAGAACCCTTCGGAGGGCATCGTTTTGCTCACAAAACACAATTAAAGAGGTTGCACAATGGGCACAATACACATCTCCCCACGATTTTTGCAAATGGATGCATTGCACGATCCGAGTTTGATGTCTCTGCAGTTGCAAGGTCCAATGTTATTTCTCCCAAACAACGGGAGAACCACACAGCCAATGGCGAAGAGTGATGGGAGTTGCAATGCAACACCAATTTTACCGTTGGATTATTATATTTTGTGAACAGAACCCTTCAGAGAGCATCGTTTTGCTCACAAAATAGAATGGAAGAGGTTGCACAATGGGCAGAATCCACGTCTCCCCGCAATTTTTGCAAACGGATGCATTGCACGATCTGAGTTTGATGTCTCTGCAGTTGCAAGGCCCACTATTATTTCTCCTGAACGATGGGAGAACCACACAGCCAATGGCAAAAAGTGATGGGAGTTGCAATCCAACACCAATTGGAGGAAATATATTATTGTTATCCCTGGATCATTACACACAGCCAATGGTAAAGAGTGATGGGAGCTGCAATGCAACACTAATTGGAGGAAATATATGATTTTTACCATTGGATTATTATATTTTGTGAACAGAACCCTTTAGAGGGCATTGTTTTGCTCACAAAATACAATTAAAGGGGTTGCCCAATAGGCACAATGCATGTCTCCCCACAATTTTTGCAAACGGATGCATTGCATGATCCAAGTTTAATGTCTCTGCGGTTGCAAGGCCCAGTGTTATTTCTCCCAAATGACAGGAGAAATGCAATGATTTGCTTCAAGAATGCAACCAATTCCCTTTAACCGAAAGGTCTTGTTTAAGAGTCTGGGCTTTGCAAAGCTTTTGCTGAAAAGAGCCGATAGAGAGATGCTTCATGCAGAGACATAAAACTTGCAAGAGAATGGTTTGATCTGATCGATACAACAGTTGGCTTTTTAAAAATCTGGGTTTCATAGATAGACAAATATCAAAACGACGGGGAAGTTGGACCGAGGCTGCATGGCCGCTATGTCAATGGAAAGAAGCACACAACCTAAACTTGGCCTCCATGACAGGGTCGGTTTAATGTCGAGCAACCTCGTTGGAGTCTCCGTTTCCAAAATGTAAATGTTCTTGGAGCAATTGGCGAAACGTTATTTCCCCATTCCCCTCCCCATAGGATGTCTCAAAGTGGGACGGAGAAGTTTCCAAAAAATGAGTTCAGCACCAGAAGAGAACATGGATCGGTCCCTGAAGACGGAGAACGGGAAGCGTTTGTAGAAAAATAAGCCATTTGATACAACGGGCAAAAGGGGGGGAAACCGTCGGCGACATACAACGGGGAAGAAACGGAGGAGTTAAAAGCACGTTTGGAAGGAGACGGGAAGGAAGAGAAGACAACTCCACGCAACGCCAAGCTTCCTTCCGGCTCTTGGAGCCATTGAGAGCGGAGGAGGAGGAGGAAGAAGAGGAGGATCCTGTCCTCCAGAAAGGTGCCTGGAGCCATCCTTCAAAAATGATACACATTTCCCAATCAACGTCCAGTCAAAGGGTCACTCTTGGCATTGGCGGAGCTCCCACATTGGCGGCGACACAATCCCACAAAACACCAGGCTCGAGGAACACAACGTAGTTGCGTCGTTGCTTCCGCCATTGTCCGAAAGAGTCGTCTCCGGATGCTCCGAAGACGGCGCCCACCATAATACTGTCTTGCCAAAACTCCGTCGAAAGGGACTAGGATTCAACACGTCTACGTTCACAACGGAAAGAAGGGGAGCGGAGTCCAGGAGTCCTTCAGTCCAGGGGCTCTTGCTTTATCCTGATGGCCGAGTTGGGCTGCGGCCGCCGGTCTTCGCGGCATAAAACGTACTCGCTGAACTGGGAGGAGTCCACCCCTCCGCCGCAGGACGCCGCCACGGTGAAGCCCTTCTGGAATAACCGCTCCAGGACCTGCACCGGACATCAAAAGAGAGAAGAGTTAATATTGGGCCCAACAGTAGGCCAAAGGCAATGCCCTTAAATCAGTAGTTTCCAGGCATTGAGACCTAAAATAAGGTCCGTGGCTCTAGATTATTAAATATAGTTTGGATGGCATATGGTCTGTATCAGAAACTATAGCTGATGTGGTCCTAGTCAAAGTGGTCCCTGGTCAAAGTGGTTACAAGTCAAAGTGGTCCCTAGTCAAGTGGTCCCAGGTCAAAGTGGTCCCAAGTCAAAGTGGTCCCTAGTCAAGTGGTCCCTGGTCAAAGTGGTCCCTGGTCAAAGTGATCCCAAGTCAATGTGGTCCCTAGTCAAAGTGGTCCCTGGTCAAAATGGTCCCTGGTCAAAGTGGTCCCAAGTCAATGTGGTCCCTGGTCAAAGTGGTCCCTGGTCAAAGTGTTGCCTAGTTAAAGTGGTCCCTAGTCAAAGTAGTCCCAAGTCAATGTGGTCCCTAGTCAAAGTGGTCCCAAGTCAATGTGGTCCCTGGTCAAAGTGGTCCCTAGTCAAAGTGGTCCCAAGTCAATGTGGTCCCTAGTCAAAGTGGTCCCAAGTCAATGTGGTCCCTGGTCAAAGTGGTCCCTAGTCAAAGTGGTCCCAAGTCAATGTGGTCCCTGGTCAAAGTGGTCCCTGGTCAAAGTGGTCCCAAGTGGTCCCTGGTCAAAGTGGTCCCTGGTCAAAATGGTCCCTGGTCAAAGTGGTCCCTGGTCAAAATGGTCCCTGGTCAAAGTGGTCCCAAGTCAATGTGGTCCCTGGTCAAAGTGGTCCCTGGTCAAAGTGTTGCCTAGTCAAAGTGGTCCCTAGTCAAAGTAGTCCCAAGTCAATGTGGTCCCTAGTCAAAGTGGTCCCAAGTCAATGTGGTCCCTGGTCAAAGTGGTCCCTAGTCAAAGTGGTCCCAAGTCAATGTGGTCCCTAGTCAAAGTGGTCCCTGGTCAAAGTGGTCCCTGGTCAAAGTGGTCCCTGGTCAAAGCAAGTCAAAGTGGTCCCTAGTCAAGTGGTCCCAGGTCAAAGTGGTCCCAAGTCAAAGTGGTCCCTAGTCAAGTGGTCCCTGGTCAAGTCAATGTGGTCCCTGGTCAAAGTGGTCCCAAGTCAATGTGGTCCCTGGTCAAAGTGGTCCCTGGTCAAAGTGGTCCCTGGTGAAGTGGTTACAAGTCAAAGTGGTCCCTAGTCAAGTGGTCCCAGGTCAAAGTGGTCCCAAGTCAAAGTGGTCCCTAGTCAAGTGGTCCCTGGTCAAAGTGGTCCCTGGTTAGAGTGATCCCAAGTCAATGTGGTCCCTAGTCAAAGTAGTCCCAAGTCAATGTGGTCCCTAGTCAAAGTGGTCCCAAGTCAATGTGGTCCCTGGTCAAAGTGGTCCCTGGTCAAAGTGGTCCCAAGTCAAAGTATTCCCAAGTTAATGTGGCCCCTAGTCAAGTGGTCCCAAGTCAAAGTGGTCCCTGGTCAAAGTGGTCCCTGGTCAAAGTGGTCCCAAGTCAATGTGGTCCCTGGACAAAGTGGTCCTAGTCAAGTGGTCCAAGTCAAAGTGGTCCCTGGTCAAAGCGGTCCCCGGTAAAAACGTTTCCTGGTCAAATGGTCCCTGGTCAAGTGGTCTCTGTTCAAAGTCATCCCTGGTCAAGAGATCCCTGGTCAAAGTGGTTCCTAACCAAGAGGTCCCTGGTCAAAGTGGTCTCTGGTCAAGGTGGTCCCTGGTCAAGTGATCCCTGGTCAAAGGGGTCCCTGGTCAAGTGGTCTCTGGTCAAAAAAAAGGTTGGGAACCACTGCCTTAAATGCACAAGAGTAGAGATGCTTATAGGTCTCTAAGTGACCTGCGTATAGTAACGCCATCAATATGCAACCATCTGCGTCCCAGTGAGAAAAGATCCAGTCAACATGTAGGTATACTCTACCACTTTCATGGTTGTCTCCTAAAAGATACAAGATGTGAGACTCAGCAAGATGGAGATGAAGAGGAGGAGCTGAGGCAGAATGAGGAAGATGAGGAGTTAAGGAAAAGTGGAATAAGAAGTAAAGGAGGAGGGGGAGGAGGAGGGGAAGGAAGAGGAGGGGTTAAGGAGAAGTGGAATAATAAGAAGAGGAGGAGGAGGAGAGGAAGGAGGAGGAAGAGAAGAAGGGGAAGAAGAGGAGGAGGGAAAGCAGAAGAAGATGGAGAGAAGAAGAGGAGGAAGAAGAATAGGAGAAGAGGGTAAGGAGAAGTGGAAAGAAGAGGAGGAGGAGGAAGCAGAAGAAGAGGAGAAGAAGAAGGAGGAGGAAGTGAAGAAGAAGAGGAGGAGGAGGGGTTAAGGAGTAGTGGAATAAGAGGAGGAGGAGGAGGAAGGAGGAGGAGGAGTAGAAGAAGAGGAGGAAGTGAAGAAGAGAAAGAAGAGGGGTTAAGGAGAAATGGAATAAAAAGAAGAAGAGGAGGAGGAGAGGAAGGAGGAGGAGGAGTAGAAGAAGTGGAAGAAGAGGAGGAGGAGAGGGAGGGAAAGCAGAAGAAGATGGAGATGAAGAAGAGGAGGAGGTGAAGAAGAATAAGGAAAAAGAGGGGTTAAGAGAAGTTGAATAAGAAGAGGAGGAGGAGGAGGGAAAGCAGAAGAAGATGGAGATGAAGAAGAGGAGGAGGTGAAGAAGAATAAGGAAAAAGAGGGGTTAAGAGAAGTTGAATAAGAAGAGGAGGAGGAGGAGGAGGAGCAGAAGAAGATGGAGATGAAGAAGAGGAGGAAGTGAAGAAGAAGAGGAGGAGAAGGAGGAGGGAAAGCAGAAGAAGATGGAGATGAAGAAGAGGAGGAAGTGAAGAAGAAGAGGAGGAGGGGTTAAGGAGAAATGGAATAAGAAGAAGAAGAGGGGAAGGAGAGGAAGGAGGAGGAGGAGTAGAAGAAGTGGAAGAAGAGGAGGAGGAGAGGGAGGGAAAGCAGAAGAAGATGGAGATGAAGAAGAGGAGGAGGTGAAGAAGAATAAGGAAAAAGAGGGGTTAAGAGAAGTTGAATAAGAAGAGGAGGAGGAGGAGGAGAAGCAGAAGAAGATGGAGATGAAGAAGAGGAGGAAGTGAAGAATGAGAAAGAAGAGGGGTTAAGGAGAAATGGAATAAGAAGAAGAAGAGGAGGAGGAGAGGAAGGAGGAGGAGGAGTAGAAGAAGTGGAAGAAGAGGAGGAGGAGAGGGAGGGAAAGCAGAAGAAGATGGAGATGAAGAAGAGGAGGAGGTGAAGAAGAATAAGGAAAAAGAGGGGTTAAGAGAAGTTGAATAAGAAGAGGAGGAGGAGGAGGAGGAGCAGAAGAAGATGGAGATGAAGAAGAGGAGGAAGTGAAGAAGAAGAGGAGGAGAAGGAGGAGGGAAAGCAGAAGAAGATGGAGATGAAGAAGAGGAGGAAGTGAAGAAGAAGAGGAGGAGGAGGGAAAGCAGAAGAAGATGGAGATGAAGAAGAGGAGGAAGTGAAGAAGAAGAGGAGGAGAAGGAGGAGGGAAAGCAGAAGAAGATGGAGATGAAGAAGAGGAGGAAGTGAAGAAGAGAGGAGGAGGAGGGAAAGCAGAAGAAGATGGAGATGAAGAAGAGGAGGAGGAGGGAAAGCAGAAGAAGATGGAGATGAAGAAGAGGAGGAGGAGGGAAAGCAGAAGAAGATGGAGATGAAGAAGAGGAGGAAGTGAAGAAGAATGAGGAAGAGGAGGGGTTAAGGAGTAGTGGAAGGAGAAGAGGAAGAGGAGGAGGAGGGAAAGCAGAAGATGATGGAGATGAAGAAGAGGAGGAAGTGAAGAAGGATGAGGAAGAGGAGGAGAAGAAGCAGAAGAAGGTGGTGATGAAGAAGAGGAGGAAGTGAAGAAGAAGAGGAGGGGTTAAGAAGAAGTGGAATAAGAAGAAGATGAAGAGCATGAGGACATAGTAGTCATCATCATCGTCTGCAACAGAAAGGAGACTGCAGTTTCCCATAGTGTTTTTGTTTCCATTTCCAGGCCACCCCTTCTTCCTCCCAACAGACACAATCCACATTCCTCCAGACGCCGGAAACCTCCGGAGGCTCAACTGGACGGACGTCCGGCGATGGTGAAAGGGACGCCGCAGAAGCTGCCGAGGATCCGTGCCATCCATTTCCGTCAGGATCCCCGGCACATTATGCAGTGATAATTCTATAAGTTATTCCTAAATGACTCGAGTGTGATTAAAGTCTTGCTTACAGCAAACCTCTGCAGAAAAAAACCCAAATATTAATCACACAAACAAGCACTCTGCGGGGCCGTTGAGTGCATTACGGAGTAAAAGACTGGCTGGGAGTGATATTGATGCCACCTTTTAAGCGGGGAGCAACGCCGGGGTTTCCGTCATAAGAGGAAAATGAAACCATAACTCATCATTAACGCACAGAGAGGAAAGCAACCAGCCACCGCTATAGGAAGGAGACTCTTTGGAGATACAAGCCTAGTTTCAGAGCGGAAAGCAGAGTAGAATTGTTGATATTATTATTATTATTATTATTATTATTATTACTATTATTGGGATTGTTAAGGGTCATCCATTAATGGGATGCCTCTAGGAATTTCTAGATCTTCCAATGGAATACTGGCACCAAATATAGGATTATTTAATGACATTTCCATGGTTTCTGGTAGTTCTTGGTTACACCAGGGACATGCCACCCATTGAGACAAGAGTATTAATCTATATATAGAATCATAGAATCAAAGAGTTGGAAGAGACCTCATGGGCCATCCAGTCCAACCCCATTCTGCCAAGAAGCAGGAATATTGCATTCAAATCACCCCTGACAGATGGCCATCCAGCCTCTGTTTAAAAGCTTCCAAAGAAGGAGCCTCCACCACACTCCGGGGCAGAGAGTTCCACTGCTGAACGGCTCTCACAGTCAGGAAGTTCTTCCTCGTGTGTGTGTGTGTGTGTGTGTGGTTATTTTATGACATTTCCATGGTTTCTGGTAGGTCTTAGTTACACCAGGGACATGCCTCCCATGGAGACAAGGGTATTCTATATATCCATATATATATGTGTACAGGAG